AACTCTCAAACATTTTCTATTAACATTTTACCAATTTAGTGGTGTCAGTTAGTCACAGGATATGTCACAGTAAGTACTAAGCCGTATATGTTTCAGCATACGTTCACTAATTTTGAGACAGGCGGTCCGATCATGTGAAAAATTGTGTGAATATTTATTTTTTATTGAGACGTTCCAACCGAACTGTGGTACAATGGATAGAGATCATGGCGAGATTAAGAACTATGTAGCGTAACACATTCGGCTTTGGCTCTTACAACCATGCTCTCTATCCTTCAGCCTTTCATCAGTCTTGTACGTCAATGCACGTGCGCCAATATGGCTAGTTGTTTGTGTTCATAATTCGATTTTTGTTTTATGGTTGATTTTAATCGCATATAAACATTTTGATTTATCACATATAACATTCGATTTATCGCATATTATTTGATTCACGCATCGAATCATTCGATTCACGCATCGAATCAATTCGATGCATCATTCGATGCGTGAATCGAATGATTCGATGCGCGAATCGAATATTCGATGCATCATTCGATCACGCATCGAATGATTCGATTCACAAATCGAATGATTCGATTCACGGCATCGAATTATGCATCGAATGATTCGATGCGTGAATCGAATGATTTGAATGCGTGATGCGAATGTTCGTGCGTGAATCGAATGATTCGATGCGTGAATCGAAGATTCGATGCGTGAATGCGAATGATGCATCGAATCATTCGATTCGCGCGATCGAATCATTCCGATTCACGCATCGAATGATGCATCGAATGATTCGATGCGTGAATCGAATGATTCGATGCGTGAATCGAATGATTCGATGCGTGAATCGAATGATTCGACTGCGCTGAATCGAATGATTGCGATGCGTGAATCGAATGATTGATGCGTGAATCGAATGATGCATCGAATCATTCGATTCGCGCATCGAATCATTCGATTCACGGCATCGAATGATGCATCGAATGATTCGATGCGTGAATCGATGATTCGATGGCGTGAAACGAATGATGCATCGATCATTTCGATTCACGCATGCGAATGATTCGATTTCACGCATCGAATGATGGCATCGAATCATTCGATGCATCATTCGATGGCGTGAATCGCATGATTCGATGCGTGAATCGAAGGATTCATGCGCGAATCGAATGATTCGATGCATCATTCGATTCACGCATCGATCATTCGATTCACGCATGCGAATCATTCGATTCACGGCATCGAATGATGCATCGAATGATTCGATGGCGTGAATCGAATGATTCGATGCGTGAATCGAATGAATCGATGCGTGAATCGAATGAATGATATCGAATCATTCGATTCACGCATCGAATGATTCGATTCACGCATCGAATGATGCTCGAATATTTCGATTCACGCATCGAGAATGAATTTGAATCGAATTATGAAACAGAATAAACACATACGCAGAGTCATAAACTCAACACAATTTCATATCTGTTATTGGTTTACGCCTGAATGCGTGATTGATTCGGGGAGGGGGTGCATGTAAGAGGGAGACATTTTCTTGTGGGGTTCCGAAAAACACAATTCCACTTGACAATTTCATGGGCCATTTGAATTGGAAGTTCTGGCATAATAGACCCCACACAAGCCCTTTGACTGACTAGTCAAGAAATTCAAAGGTCTGTATATTGCTCTTATTTAGCCGCCGATAGTTCTTTTTAAAACAAAGTCTTCATTGTTATCTTTTAAAACTACAGACCATCCGCTGACCGCTGTGGAGGACGTGCGCCGGGCCTCGAATTTGGCGCACGTCTCACTGCGGACAGCGCTTCATATACTTGAAATCCCGCGGTCGCGTGCGCATATCCCGCGAACTGCGCGTCTTCATCCGCGCGCAGCGCTCGGGATCAACAGCAAGCTGTTGTGCCACGCAATCTTGTATCATGTCGCTCTGGATGCATGCGGCTGTCTGTCTGTCTTTCTGTGTACCTGTCTGACTAAATGTCTTCCTGTCTGTCTGTCGGTCTGTCTGTCTGTCTGTCTGTCTGTCTGCCTGTCTGTCTGTCTGTATGTATGTATGTCTGTCTGTCTGTCTGTCTGTCTGTCTGACTGACTGTTTGTCTGTCTGTCTGTCTGTCTGTCTGTCTGTCTGTCTGTCTGTCTGTCTGTCTGTCTGACTGACTGACTGTCTGTCTGTCTGACTGACTTAATGGCTGTCTGTCTACCTGCCTGTCTACCTGTCTGACCAAATGTCTGTCGGTATATATCACCTCTCTCTGTCTCAGAGAGGTCATAAGAGGTCATTACTACTGTGCGGGGGTTCGAATCCCGACCGGGTTATACCAAAGACTTGAAAACTGGTACACACTGCTTCTCTGCTTAGCACTCAGCAAATAGAGATAAAGTGTGAAAAGTTAACTCGCAGTGCTACCAGCAGACTAACCCCCTGCTGTAGTATAAATTTACCGTGAAAGCAACTGCGTGGCCTCGGGAACGGAAATAGGAACCGCTCTATGCGCCACATATAGGCACGGGAAGAGATTTAACATAACTAACTTTACTACTGTGTGATTTACTTACGAGGGTGTCTGTGACTGGTAGTAAAATGCTGGTTCATCCAGGGCGGAGTCTATGTAAAACTTGTGATGCTACAAAAGAAGACGCAGACGCGTGTTAGCAAATTATAGTTGCATGTTAAGATAATTATCATGCCCACGTTTCTTTTATTGAACCGTGTAACCGAGAAAGTTTCGGTATGCAACCCAAATTAGAGTATTCCAAAAATGAAAGAACGTTCATATGAATAGGAGAGTTTACAATGCTTTATTTATTAACATCTACTACTAAGAATTTACGGATTTTTATATATTCTGCCGGTGAACCACCGTCTACTCTGTTTTTTTTCTTACTATTGTACGTTCGCATCGGCTACTGTTACTAAGCTTATACGCGGAAGTTCATGTTCAAAAGCTCTATGGCCTCTTTTAAGTGACTACCCATGCTTGACGTTTACATATATGTGTCAACCTCATAAAAGGTTTAGCAATTACTGTATCGTGACCGAATATTTGTTTTGACCATACCACAAATACACGCACGCACGTACGCACGCACGCTCGCCCGCGCGCACGCACGCACGCACGCACACACACACACACACACACACACACACACACACACACACACACACACGCACGCACGACACACACGACACACACG